GTTTTGGAGTTTAAAAATAAAAAAAGTGGAATAAAAAGGCCTAAATAGCTAAATAGATTATTTCATTTCAGAACCTAAAACCACTCCACTACAGAATAATAATATTGGCTTGAAATATATTGGAAGAATGACTTTTGGGGGCAATAAGTAGGCATTTCAATGAAATTGGTACTGAATCTCACGTTAGAATGGCTAAATGCTTAGCTGAGAAAATCTTCGATTTTTTTGAGTCATTAACTGCACAAAAATACATTAATTAATATAAAACTACAACGTGATAATATCCTGTTGTATATTTTTTGTGATGATGATTATGAATACTTCAATATTCTTCAATGTTTAATCTTCTTAAGCGACAAATATTTTGTTTGTGCTAATAATTTCCAATTTTCAGGCATTTTTGCGTTGTGACTAGGATATTTCGACTATCTCTTGGCAGCATTGAATTATGGAGTATACTGTTTGGCTTTGGCACAATGTTCCTAACCATGTCTGAAGTGGGAGTTATTGACCTTTTAAAGCTCAATGCTTGCTTATCTACCTTGTGAGTGCCTTGAAAGCCTCAATTTATTCCTTGCAGTGCCTTTCACTGAATGAGCAGAAAGGCTGCGACTGAAAGTCAATTAATTTCTAATTTTCAACTGTTGGAAATCGAAATACCTATTATCGCGTTTGGTGTCTTCGAAGTGCTACCGTATGCATATCTTAGTATAATATGTGGAGACTTGTGTAGTTGTGTAAATTGTAATTGATTTGAAACGCTTGAGAGTAATAAAAAAATAGGTTCCAGCTGATCTCCTATCATGAAACGTTTCCCATAGTTCCTAGTAAAATTCGTCTAAACATGTTTCAATTTTGAAACAATATAAACACCCTTATTAATTGTAACATTGTCTACATATCTTCCTTTTAATCACCAGATGCTAATATGAACGTTTGCCAATCAACATCACATTTCTCCGATTCTCTTATGGCATTTTAATTGAAATTATTGGAGATAATAGTTGCCCTGAAACATGAATTTGCCAAAATTATCTTTCATTTTCAATTTGCTTGATTGAAATTGATAAATGAATTGAGAACAATTTAGTTTTGAATTAACATATTTCAACTAAGGTAGGAAAATATCATTTCAAGTTGAAACTGTTTAGAGATATAAGAATAAAAAATTATTTGAGGTGCTTTAGAGTGCAAAATGATCATTTATTTATTTATAACAAATGGCAGACGTTTTGATAGTTATCATTAGCTCTTTAGTTGACTTCGGGCTTCATAGAGGGGAGGAGGAATATCAAAATGGGAATAATTTGAGAGGGGGAGCAGAAGAGTGATTCACAGATGCAAAAGAAACACACACACATAGAGGCTCAAAATGGGTAAAATGAGCACTGTGGTAGGAGTTGAATATGGCATACAGTAGGGTAATAGTAGTTTGAAGTCAGAATTCAACTACCGTATGAATATACGTTACCCAGGGTACCTCACAAGGAGGCAAGTCTATCCCACACCCCGCAAAATAAACATTTAAGATATCAAAAAAGTGCTGTGACACTTCAACTACACTCCGAGCTTATAGATTCAATCTTCCCACTAAACCTCCTCGACTGCTTCCATCATCCATTATTCCTATTAATCTTTAAACACTTGCTACTTTCCATCTACCGATGACTTCTCCTTTAAAAATGACATGAAGTCCGAATTATTGTTGTTAAATTATCCGTTTTTGTCTAAATCGATTCAATAGCTAAAATTATAAAATAACTTTAGGCAAATTTCGTGTTTTGCTAGCACCAGATCATCATTCAATGCAAATGCCATTTTTAGACAAACAGTTCATTCTCAAATCAGCGCTGATTTTGAGCTCGAAGTACATCGTAGCCTTATCTTCCGCTTGCCTTTAACATCTAGTGCCAGTATTGCAGTGAAGAAGTATTTATGGTTTGTGTTGATGATGGCTGTTTTCTGAGCAAATCAAATTTATCTGTTCCTCTCTTTTAAATACCACTGCGTCAATAGATTTCCAGCGTTGAGCAATCTGACAGAATGGTTTGATTCCATCTGGTCGGTCACGTGGTAAGGGGACATGCCTGATCAATTCAACATTGATCTGTTCTCAATCTATTTGAGAATTTGTCTGTAAAGTGAAGCTACGTTGGTGTGATGAGTTTCCAGATCAAGTACATCCATCGTGATATCTAGTTTTAGGCAAAAAATAATTCCTTCCTGATCCATTAGCAACCAAGTTGACATTTTAAATTAAATATTTTACTGCTTACCATATATTGCCCAATTTTATGTGATTACAAGTCGTGAGTAATTAGCCAACGTTCCTTGACATTGAGGTGGTTCAATGATTTAGCTTGCAAAGTAAAAGCCTAGCGTAAACACGTACTTGATTTGAATAGTCTAGACTCCTTTGGTTAGGTAAATCGTTGACAGATTAATTTTCGTTCAGTATTAATAATAATGTTTCTATGCAATATTCACCAGTTTAAATCGATAAATTGAATTTCTTGTCAAGGCGGAATTAAACAGACATATCTATTTAAGCTAAAATTTTTTGTATAAAGATGGAGTCAAATAGAATTTTTTACGAGATAGTTGCAAAGGATTCCTAACATGAAACATTCATTTTAAAAGAAGAAAAATGTCTGAACGATTTAATCATGTGGTAAATTGGAAAATTTTAAAATTCAATATATTAAGTAAAGGTTAATTGACCTTTATCAAGAATTGAAAAACATGTCCATTTATGAAGATCTTTTCAAATAATTATGTCGGTTTGGGAAAATAATGAAAGGTGATTTTCTTTGATGTCATAGCTGATCTGGAAATTATTCATGAACAAGAATATTAAAGCCAATAACTTTGCAATGATATCAAGAGAGACAAGAATAGCGTCTTCACCGAAACCTTTTATTAAGCCATCAAGGTGAGAAACTGCAAAAAAATAAATGGAAAGATTCGAGGTAATCACAATGATCCGGCCAATATTAGTTTTATTTTAATCACACAATTCCAATAAAAATTGAAATAATTTCAAGAATCCATAACCAATCAACGTATTTTCAAGTGGTTCAATACCATCGGTTGACAAGCAGTTCATTATTGAGCCAGTGTTCTCTACCAAACGCCAAAAACTGGGGAGAAAGGAATTCTTTAAGTACGTGACTAATATTTTGATATGAAGATTTACCCTCCTACGAGGTGCATATATCGCGTAGCAAGAATATTGATATTAAACGGAGTATTGTGACTTCAGTTTCAGATCACTGTTCTCCTAGTGTCTAGGCTAATATTGCAATGATGGAAGCAACACGATTTGTCATGAAAGTAACTTATATTCAATTCTATTCTCCAAGCAGATTAATTAAGCTAAGTATTCTGGGAGAAGATATTGATTCCATCTGGTTTCTTGGTAAGAGGATAAACATGATTAATTCAATAGCGACCTGTTGTAATACGAATAGTGCTTTAATCAGTAAAGCGAAATCATGTGGAGGGGAAGATATGCAATGAGCTTGAAATAAGTTGGCTCATTGATGGAACAACTCGGGAGTGAAAACGAGTTTCCGTGAGTCTGTTGAGGTGAAATGGAATTGAAGAAAAACATGAGTTTGCAGTGTTATGCGCATTGCATGAACTGACTCATTGCCTGACCTTCATGAGTTGGAAAGAACGGAGTGAGAGATATTAAGCCACCGGTGATTTGGACATCAGTAGTAAATTGTGCAGTCATTGCTTCAATGATGGCTGATTATCGCCATTAACTAGAACGTCTTCAAATTCGTTTTAGCACCCACAATTTATAACAAAGTTATCTTCGGTTCCACATTCCTGCATATTTTGGTTGAATACTTCATTCCAATGTTAGTTAATGGCAGAATATTGCGACAATTGTCATAGCAGTTAATGCTATTAAGCCTTGCCAACAACACTGAATCAATTTCTCGTGTTCCCGAAAATAAAACTTCATCCAAAAATGGAAATTCATCGCGTTTGGCTATAACTCTGAAGAGGCTTTTAAGTTATCGATTGACAGTTAAAAATTATAATCAAGTTTGAAAACGAGGCGATGAGCAATAAGAGTATAAACTAAAGCGGCTAATCGTTGGTAATGCGTGATCTCGCAAGGTTTAACGTTATCCGGACTTATTGAACAGTATTCCTGTCTTGGAAGGAGGCATTGGAAGGGGAATCATGAATTTGTATCTACGATCACACAAGTATTTACATTTCCCACAGATTATTGAGCTTCAATGTTAATTAATATGGAAATTGCTCTATAACAAAATATGGCCCACAATGGTGTCCAGACAACAATATTTTGTTTATGGTCAAGTCGTTTCACTGACTAGTGCCCACAACGCTTGCCAGAATAATTAAACCAAATTAATCTAATATCTCTCCTACGCAAATTAATATTCAATGAATAATTAATTTGTCGTTTATTGGCGAATCTGTTAGTTTCTCAATTGTCAGCATCATTCACCATTTTTATAGAATGTTATCTCAATGCCCTTTTAATTAATACTTGATTCCAAATCAAATTACTTCTCCGATTCACTCTTTATTCAAGCAAGTCCTGGGAATTTAAATTTTTCTCAGAAAATTTTAGCTTTAATTTCTCATGCAAATTTGAACTTACATCTGATAATTTATCAGACCTTTAATCAGTTCTCTGGCTTATTCACTATCCGTTCAATCACATTCTTATTTGGCTATTGTTAGATGTGTTCGCGTGCTTTTTTCACGCCCTCACCCTCTCTCATTGGCTCAGACAAACAACGATTGCGCAGTAAACATCTCAGAAAATAGAGAACAGTTTTCTCACTCTTAATAACCCCTACCTCTGCAGTTTATTGATTAGAAACATTTTAATTAACGTTATGACTTATCTGTTTTCAATTTCGAAAGCTTTATTGACGTAGTTACTCTCATGCACTTATCTTCCTATCAAACCCTTGTATATTGAAGACAAATGAAGATTGTTATGTCAGTTAGAAGTGATCAATTAGGAGGGAGATGAATGATTCCGCAACTTTGTAAGTGATTGCAGCTCCACTACTATCGCTCTCTGTTCCGCTTAATTGTCTAAGCGGCGGAGCTGAGGCTACAGTAGGTTTGGAAGAAGAATCCGCTGGTTCAATAATGTTAGAGAGTGGTGGTCGAACAGTTCTCCATTGACGCAATGCATGCGAACGCATTTCCGACTCAGATGCAGATGCGGAAGCTGATGTTGTAATTGCGTCTGATTGAGTTGCTGCATGCAGCACTCTTAAACTCCAAGAAGACGAAGAAGATGCTGATTGGTGAGCTTTGCCTTCCTCGACGTACTGCTTTGAAACTTCTGGTTCACTTGGGCCACCACTGTGGGTATGAAAGCGTGGCATTGTGAGTTTAATTGGCTTTTGAAATCGAAGTCCGCGAGGTCCGCACATTATCACAGGACTGACAATATGCGATTTCTTTTCTAAATCTTGCTCTTCTTCTCCCACTTTACGATTTGTACCTTCGTAGACCTGCGTTGGAAAATCCGATTGTTAATGCATAAGAACACATGCAAAATTTATCCATCAAATGAAGAGTCTATGTTAGTGAAAACTTTGTGTGATAATTCCCCTAATTTATTTGGTATTTTTCGATACTTTTGCAAGACGTAAAACAAAATACCAATTCCTGCTCTACTCCCGATAGGAGTTTACTTGTTAATCATTCCTGATATGCTTTATCAGTAATAAGTTTCATTTGATTACAGTCAAACCAAATTTTGAGAATGAATCTTGCTTGTAAATAAAGGTATCTCTATTCGCAAACACTTGCACACATCTACAAATTATGGATTTAATAATGTTTGTCGGAGCACTTTTTCAATCCTCCGTTTGATAGCTTTCTTTTTCATTTTTACCTGTTGAATCCACCACATTGACAAGCCACTGATCGTGAAGTGAACAAACCCAGAGTGTGTGTGCCTGTGTGTGCGGAGGTCTCCCATTAAATCAAGGGTCATTATTCTTGTACTCAATTAACCAGCATTTTACTCAAAAACCTCTCAAAACAATACTTTGTTTGTCCGCTTAATTGTGCATGGCCAAGTGAATTCTTTGACAATTTATACCTAATGTCGTTGCTGGGGACTTGTGGTATATGTCAGTAGGATTACCGTGGTTTGGTCTAGGTCATATTTGTACTGCTTACTCTTTAGACATGTAGTATTTATAATTTAGTGTGAGTTTTGTAAAATGATTAGTTCAAATTCATGTTATTTGCAGGCATTTATTTTTTGTCAGCTTATTGATATTTAAAATCACCATCTTTATCTTTCAAGCTCCAGATTAGCATACTCCACAACTGACCTGAATCCATCTTCATCTCCTATTTCCTTATTTAATGGCAGAACTTTTACCTCGAAAAACTGTCGTAATTTACTACTGTCTGCATCTACTCATAACTTTAAGCACTCAAACTTAATCTTACCGCTGATCCGATCCATGCCAGAGCCATTCTCCAACTACAACCACCAAAGTACTTCCTCTCACTCCTCTCCTTCGCTAGCCTTTTTCTTCTGTATTTTTGACCTGTTGAGTTCACAACACTGCCACTTGCCACTGATCGTGAATTGAAAAAGCATAGAGTGTGTGCAGAAGTCACCCAACTAATCAAGGACCAATATTTGGATCAATACTTCTAATTACAACTAAAATGCTGAAGTCATATTATTCCATCTTCTCAATAAGCAAATTCGATGTGGACTAAGTTGGTGCCTCACCACTAATATTCTTATTGCCTAAGGAAACAACTTACTCTTGCTCTTCTAATGGTCTAATAATTACAATGCAGACTGATTTCAACAGAAGTCTCAAACATATTTTAAAAGATTAGGTCTTCCTGCTATTCTAGTCACCTGAGTGTCATTTGTAGGCAGAATATATAGGGGCTTATGTCCTCTAGTGGTCAGATTCGCAGAAGAGTGCCAATTTGCTTATTTCTTGCCCTACATCAATTCCTCTCATGCATCGGAAACTTTTCAGTCTATACTCTATCAAAATCTATTAAAGTTAACTTAGCAGACAATGAAACCTTACCCTAAGGTAAATCTCCTGTTTTTCTCCATTACCATCATCTGGAATAGCCCCAGGAGGTATAGAAAGCTCAACACCATGTTCAGGAATTTTAAGTTCGCCCCCTTCAGCAGGCGAGAATTCACCACTAATCTCAGCCACCACTCGTTGAGGCTCGGAAATGAGTCCACAGGGAATATTTCGCGAGGAAAGTGGCCGATGACGCCTTCCAACTTCGTGTTTCTGTCCAGCCTCCTTGTCTCGCGGTGAAATATTCATACAGTTGGCCTCCTCTGTGGCGCGCTCTGGAGACTCAGTTTGAACCGATCTACTATCTGGCCTAAAATGAATTAATTGTTATTCACTTTCATGGCACTCAATTTATTGTTCAATAATCGACGCCTATTCATTAAAATTGCCTAACTTAAATGAATTCAGCTAACTGTAAAAGGATTGGAGAAAAATTTAATTCGTGAAACGTCTTTAATTTCTTTTCTCGTATCAATATAATTTATAATTCTCATATTTGAATGTACATTTTCTTTGAGGTTAATTAAGTTACTTTGAGTACATTTACTCTTCTGGCCAATCCTGCTATCAGTTCAACAAAGTTCAAGATGAAAATGCATTTTTCGATCAATTGATATCAGCCGAAAATGTTCAAATTTGCAAGTAAATTTGAAATGTGAATGAAGTAACTCAAAGTCCCTTGATTAATATAAACCTAACAAATTCTGCTGAAGTCTGTTTGCCTTGAACCTTACTTCCCAAAAATTTTATTGCTTGTGTTGAAATATATCATGAGTCATACAAAAAATATTTCATTAAGCTATACCAAATGAAATATTCTCTTTAGATCAGTATTTACCAATTTGCCACTATTACGACCTCATTTAGTATTGTTACTATTTCAAATGGCAGGCTTTATAATGTTTATCATTAGCCCATTAGTTGACTTCAGCTTTCCCCATGGGGGAGGGGGGGGGGACAACACATATAACGGTTCATTAATTGCAGTTCATTAGCTGTCTTCTGGCTTCCCAGTATCTCTGGGTTTCTGTCGTTGTCTGTAGGGTTGGACATCGAATCAGGTGGGTCTTCCCCATTTCCTCCTGTAGGTTACATTGGGGGTGTGTTGGTTGATCAAAGCATTTCATGCTCTGGAAAAATATTCCACCTGGAAAATATGTTCATCGGACTCTCTGTCTGTCTATGTTGCTAGTGTGTTCCAGATATCAATGTCTCTAGGTATATGTAACATTTCATTTAGATTTGACTCTCTTTTAAAATCCTGAGCGAATATTTTCAGTGCCTTTGAAGGAAACCATCGATTTTCAAATATCAAAAACTGGATATCGATTTGTGGATTTCTTCACCCAAGACTGAATAAATAGTAGCACCTGTAGAGAAGCTGTCGCACCAATTATTGGCTAACGGGACAGCCAATCACTTATCACAAATCCAAGACTATAAAAGCCTTTTTTATTTGATTTAGAACAATGGCTCGAGTCAGAATAGTAGAACATTTAAGGAGGAACATCTGAGAAGTTAAACTAGTTTTAGTTCTTATTTCTTTGCTATTCTCAATGTAGATTAATTAGAAGTAATTTGTACGAAAACATGTTATGTTTATTTATGATCTTTTATCACATGTCTAAAAAATCATTTATAGCGAATGACTGTAGAAATTCAAAGCAGAATTTAAAACAAATCTTTTCATGCGTAATTCTATGCCAGTTCTTGAACATGCTTTTCACAGCTTCTTAAGTCAGGAATTTTTCAGAAAAAAAATTGAATTTCAAACTAATTCACTTTGTGCTTATTTTTCCACTCTAGATTCGGTCAGGAATACAAAGATACCAATAATTTTCAATCAGAAATCAAATAAATTTAATAATTGTGAAGTAATAAAGCTTTTTTTCTTTAAATACCCTTAATGTCAAATTGGCTTAATTTAGATTTGAAATACCCATTTTGATTCATTATTAATTTAATGATTACCCTTTGTAAAGTTAAATAATTTCATATTCCGTTAGCTTAACATGAGGTAGATTAAATATGATACGAAGTGAAACAGCATTCTCAAATCGAAGAAGTCTCCAATAGCCGAGTAATTGAAGTGCGCTAATTTGTTTTCCTTCCAAATCCCCTACATGTTTTATTGATTGCTAAATGGACACATTGTGCTGCATCTTTGTTCAATTTTTCTAACTTCATGAATCGAATCCTCAAATCCATATGGGTATCTCAAGAATTTTATGTTTACTGAGTACACTATTGTATTACATGTATTTTGCTTCTTAAAGTGGCTGCTTCATATAACAGGAAATTATTTAAAGCAAGTACTTGATTTAGAACATTTCTGATATAAGTTATCTGCAGTTTCATCAAATTCAGTGTTTAACTTTGCTGACTGCTGAAGTACCATGTAGGAATATTCGACTTTCTGTACCTAAAATAGCAATTAAGTTCAACCCACTATTCTATTTCGTTTGCTAAATTTACTGTTGACTGATTTCATTTGTTTTCAATGAATTAAAAATTGTATCTTTGCATTGCTGTGGGCTCAATATTTAGAAGTCAGTATGGAATATGATTTACACAGAGACCAACCATCTAACACCATTTTCCAGAACTTTGGTCAATGTGAAGTAATTGGACATTTTTAGAGGACCAACTATTGCCATTTTAGAATCACACATTCACAACAACATGTTATCTTCCTAAATCCGAAACAGCCACACCCTTTCAAAATAAGTTTACATATTTTGTTACTACTGTTTATTAAAAAGTAGAAAGTATATAGGCACAATTCACCTCGGTGATTGAATTCGTACGCGTCGTAAATCACTTTTCCTCTTTGGAAAGCTACCGCTATCTGAGTATCCAAGGTCAATGTTGTCTTCAACTAGGTTTAGACGTGTCGGGATACCCCAGTCATCCGAACTTTTACCAAAGGAAGAGCTATCTCCATGGTAACCGCCAT